ACTTTTCAGTCTTAAATCTGTATGCTAGATATTGAATAAGGTGGGATTATTGATTTTTGTGATTTAGAATGATATTTCTGTTCATGTTTTAAAAACAAAAATCAACTCTCTGTATAAATATATCAGAACTCGGGTGACCGCTAAGGCCCATGGGCCTCTTGTTCTATCTAAATTGGTTCTAAAACTGTACTACTGAATAGAAACCATATATGCTCATCGGCAAAACCCCATGAAATCAAAGTATAACAGGAAAACATGATTTTAATACGATGGATACTAGAAATGTTGATTTGAAATGGTATGTTACATTATAACGAGGTGACAGTGCAATTTTCATACTTTGTTAACGACCGTACAGTCCCAATACTTATACATACATGTATATATCATTTCTGACTTTACGTGTTGATTTGTTGTGATCAAATCGTTATTTAGAATAATAAGTATGATGTTACAAATCAAGCTTTGAGAAATACGATGAACACTTATCGTTGTGTATGATATATTAGCTGTTAGAGGTTTAACCGCATGATAGAAAGTAGACTGGCTACCAGCCCCTAAGCATTTATGAAGAATTTCCCGGCTGCATTTAACTACTAGCTAATCTCCCCCTAGTTTGAAAACATAGAAAACACTTACCCAATTATTATTAGAAATTATTAGAGTTTATTTTTTTCTAAATGATTTAATATTCTAGAGATTGGGGCCAGTCTAGACAGAAAGTTACATGTGAGAAAACTACTTTTACAAGATGTTATATGGCACAGAATCGGTACAATATATATATAAACTATTTTAAGTTTATTACTTGTTTATCATCTTTGAATGTATTAATTCAATAACAGAAACAAAACATTAGAAAAGAAATTTTGAAATATTCATAAAATTAGCAAGCTTTATCTTTAAAGCTTGATAATTTTCTTTTCTGATTTCAAGTCAGAAAGNGTGGGGGGCGTACAGTATTTGCTATGTCCATCCTGTCTATGATTTTGATAACAAACTTTATACAAAGGTTAAGTATACAAAAACCTCAGGTTTTATAGTTTCAAGGTCGAGGCCAAGGTTATTGTCACAAATAGAAAGTTTTCATCATCGCTCTATAGCAACTTTATTTCTTTATAGATTATTCAACTGATTTCTCTGTGTATGAATATACCTTCATTGAGTCATTACTGGGAGCCTTAGTCAAAGTAACTTGTATTATACGTAGAAAATTATCAAAAATTCAAACTTGTGTTTAATTACCTTACCATGGAGGTATTAAATGTCATTTTCTAGCTTTAAAGATATTTCGTGTTGTATATGTTTCAATATCTGAATTCACTTAAATTTTCAGTAGTTTTAATTCTCTGTATTTCACCTTGATTTACAGAACTTGATTGTATTGGCAACCTGGTTGGTGATGTACCTCATCCCAGACATGCCAGGATCTGTGAAGCTCCAGATGCTGAGAGAAAATTTCTTGGCCAAGGAAGCACTTTATACAGCGGAGACAGTAATGAAGGCAAGACGTGGCGATGATAATGCCACAAACGCCACCAGTACGCAATTCTGATGACAGCTACAAGATTTATCTCCTAGAAAAATGATAACTGGAAAAAAGGTCTGATACAGAGGAGGAGTATTTACCCATTTACTGACATCAATCAACAAACTCTATCATTGTGTGTTTCAGAGTTCTGTTTATCAGAAAGCACAGGAAACAAATATTTGATTTTGCAGAATTTTCTGGAGACAATTTGTATCTTACTGTATATAATTCAAAGACAATGGTTAACTTGTGATTTTTAGAATAATCTGTGGTTATCATAAATACACATTTTTCATATTTTTTTGCCAAAATCTCAACCTGACGACAAATTATACATTTAAGTGTTTTTCTACGCAGCCTGAAAGGGATATTTTTTTGCTTGAAATACGTTTACGACAGATCATGTAACTTTCTTTTTAGCTTCAGTGTAGCTATAATCCATTATAACCCAGTACTTTCAGGTTGTAGATATATTATTAAGTATTAAAACCAAAGTCTTGTGATTAGACATTTGATTTAAAACAAACATTGAATCTTTTGTTGTGAAATTTTTATAGACATACATGTATATACTCGTTATTATTGAAAACGGTTAGAAATAGTTTGTTCCTTTAAATCTAAATACATTTATTTTCTCTAAATATATTATAAATCGTAGTTTTATTCAGTTATATATATAATTTATTTCTTTAAGAGTTTGTGTATGAAATATTATATTCACTTATAGCCTTATATAAATATTATACCAAGTTATATATTTTATCAATTAATCTTATCATTGTTAATTATTAAAAATATGTGTACCACAAATATTCTTTGTGAAAGAAACTTACAAATAGTGCTATAAAAGAGGTTTATTTTCAATTTGAAATAAATTTCTACAAGTAAGATGCTGAGGAAATAAATTGTATGATTTCATATTTGACCTTGTCATGAGAAAGGGTCAAAGTTCAAAGGTCATCTTCCTTTTACATACCATTNTACTACTGAATAGGAACCATATGGTTCTAAAACATCTACTGAATATAAACCATATGGTTCTAAAACTACTACTGAATAGGAACCATATGGTTCTAAAACTGTACTACTGAATAGGAACCATATGTTTCTAAAACTACTACTGAATGGGAACCATATGGTTCTAAAACTGCACTACTGAATATAGGAACCATATGGTTCTAAAACTACTACTGAAAAGGAACCATATGGTTCTAAAAATGTTCTGCTGAATAGGAACCATATGGTTCTAAAACTGTACTACTGAATAGGAGCCATATGGTTCTAAAACTGAACTACTGAATAGGAACCATATGGTTCTAAAACGACTACTGAATAGGAACCATATGGTTTTTAAACTGTACTACTGAATAGGAACCATATGTTTCTAAAACTACTACTGAATGGGAACCATATGGTTCTAAACTGCACTACTGAATATAGGAACCATATGGTTCTAAAACTACTACTGAATATGAACCATATGGTTCTAAAACTGAACTACAGAATAGGAACCATATGGTTCTAAAACTACTCCCGAATAGGAACCATATGGTTCTAAAACTACTACTGAATAGGAACCATATGGTTCTAAAACTGAACTACTGAATAGGAACCATATGGTTCTAAAACTACTCCTGAATAGGAACCATATGGTTCTAAAACTGTACTACTGAATAGGAACCATATGGTTCTAAAACTGTACTACTGAATAGGAACCATATGGTTCTAAAACTGGACTACTGAATAGGAACCATATGGTTCTAAAACAACTACTGAATGGGAACCATATGGTTCTAAAACTACTACCGAATAGGAACCATATGGTTCTAAAACTACTGCTGAATAGGAACCATATTGTTCTAAAACTGTACTACTGAATAGGAACCATATGCTCATTGGCAAAAACCCATGAAACAAAGTACATGTATGACAGGAAAACATTATATTTATTACGATGGATACTTGAAATGTTATGTTACATTATTACAAGGTGACAGTGCAATTTTCATACATTGTTAACGGCCATACACTCCCAATACTTACATACAGTACGGCCTATTGATATTCCAAGTGATACGCTAATCATCAAGTTTTAGGGTGACGCGTGCCCCTCATGATCTAATCACCGTGGTTCGTGATGATAGGTCAATTATGCCGATCGGTCATCAAGACTCAATCACGATGGTTTGCGATGACAAGTCGAATCGCGATGAACCCCCGCGATCGGGACGTGTAGAATCACGAGATGTCAGCAGGACTCATCGGCGCTTACTCATGCGATAAGATAGATGTCCATATTTACCTGTAAAATAGTCGATATGGAGGGGAAAATTCAGCCGGTACCATTCAGCCATACCTATCGACGTTAAGCTATGAAAATCAAGCATACTCGAAACCCAAAATAAAACATACAATTTTGTTTTTACGTATAATGTTGTCATGTGATTTTTAACTTTGAATGATACCACAAATCATTTGTTATAACTATGATCAGCACGTGTAAAAAATTCACCACGTAATTGGTTTTGTGGTGGTGTTTTTTGTTTTTTTTTACTACGCTACGGACCATCTGATAATGCCTAAAATTTTAAGAGATATAAGAGTTCACGGAATTTCCACTGTTTGTCACTGACAAGTAAAAGAATGTAGACTCTTTGAATAATTTACGCGAGCAATTTGTTACAGATTGTATTTAAATTCAACATGGAATAAGATGGACAATTTGAAAGCATGATCCGTATCTTAAATTGTGATAAAAAGAAAGGAGAATATGACACATTTATACTGTTTAAAATGGTAAAATACAATTATCATACAGTCTGTAGTACTGTTAATCTAGCAAGATAAGCTAAAACATAAAATATACCGTATCGATCTGTGAAACCATTAAATGTCTTGATATCAATCATGTCTAATACAGAGCTCAAGTGTGTTAAAATGTTAGGTTTTTATCATTAATGTAGTTTTTATTTAAATCCTATAATTCCTTTAAACATAATATTACGTAGTGGGTCATTGAATGAAAAACGTTTTCACACTGAGTTCATTTGCATCAACATCACTGCTCGTCACTCTCTAGTGATCCTATCTTGTCTGTCTGTCAATCAAACGATGTTGAAGGCCGTGCCTGACGACATTCGCCAATCAGCCAACGGGTTGTTTTTGTTTCACTACCTGAGTGTCTGATTTACTTAATGAAGAACACACCATTTTCTCGAACTTTTGGAAGTAGTCTGTCCGACGGACTTGATGGACCGACTTTTATTTTGCAATATGGTTTCGATCCATGTAAATATAATGTATACATCGACATATATATATCCAATCTCCCTCATATCGAACTATAAAGTATAACCTATGATCTATACAATCTTCAATAAACATAAATATACAGCATGTGCTTATACAACGTCTAGGGTTAAAAACCAGAGATGAAACTTAAAACCTTCTGACGTTTACCCCAATTTGATCCACAGATCAATACCTATAATCTCCATGTCGCAAAGACAATTAAAATACACTTTTCGTGGTTTTTTTTATAAAAAATATATCAAAAACGATGTTCTGCCATGCTCGAATGATCCACTATCACACCTGTACTCCCATTCATCACGTGTACCTTCACACAAAGCTCGTGCACATTGCCGCTACTCATGAATATTCATGTATGCTAATCTTAACTTACGAAACTATTAGACATATTTCCTGCTATACTGCGTGACGCAGGAAAGTTACATTACCTGGACAAAATTTAAGTATAGTCTGTTTCTATATTTCCATAGCATATATCAACATTAAAATCAATTCTCTCATTACACTACTTACTGTGATGATGAGAGATCTGATTTTAATTAGATTGATAAAGGCTTTGGTTCAGCTTAAAGTTTCTGTGACCTCGAAATTTATTTTTAAATATTGTAGAAAATAAATGTTAGATTGGTCAGTTATCATGGTATATTCGATGCAGGTCAATTTCGTCAAAGGTCAGAGTCAAGATACAGTGGCGGACCCAGGGGTGTTGCCCTAGTTGCCCGGGCAACACCCCCTTTTTTGTGTCCAAAAATAATCTCCTAAAATTTTCCTCCGTTTCATATAGGTTTTCCTTCTAATATCAACCATCCCTTGAACTATGATTTTTTTATGGCTTCCCCTTGCCAACAGTTTGAATATCTATATATGCCCAAGGGTGTTGTCCAAACAATGAGTCCACCACGTATACTTATACTCAAACAATAGGAAATTAATCCTCTATTGTCTATATATAAGTAGGGTCTCCAATCTGGTCAGTGGTTATGGCTCACTGGACTGACATTACCTAATCTTATTGTTCTAATGATTAGAACAATAAGATTAGGTAATGTCAGTCCAGTGAGCAATATAAATGTCACGGTGTGATCATCCTGTCAGTTTTGACAGGACTATACCATCTGTTGGAATTAGGTATATAATAGGTAAAGTGTTATTTCAAAGGTAGAGTCTATTTCATGATAGATAAACCTGTATTTTCACCTGTGGTTTCATGTACACATGCTCACCAGGAGTGATTTTTAATAAAAATATAAATTCTAAAAATTACAAAGACAATGAAGCACCCTCCTTAGCATCACTTTATCAGGCGAATAATAACCAATGTAAGCATTTAAGCCTGGCATGTATATCCTTTTCATTAGGTGTTGCCATTGCACATATGTATGCGTACAAAATCATAACTCATATTTATGACAAAATAAATCAATATTTAATTGTCAAAATGCTCGCATAAACTACATGCACATGAAGGGCATGACACAAGCATCAACATTTTAACCAAAAACCTACATTTTTACCATATATTTTACCGAAGTTGTAAACACTCGCTCCGCACGGCCATCATAAAATATATATACTCTACGTTATAAATATAACCTGGAAACTCAGAAAACTATTCTACGCCTCACTCGATCTGTTTGACAAAGTAAATAATGTCCGATAAATTCTTGGTATCGCTTGAAATAGTTAAGTATTACATCTTCAGAAAGAAAGAAAAAAGCATCGCTCCGCTCGGCTGGGAAATCATAATTGTCACAATCTCAGAATTCTATTTATTTTGTTGGTGCCAGAAAGTAGTATACATGTACAACCGACATGACCCTTCTAATTTATTAGTTCTAGATAAGTGCAACAAAATGTCTTTTTCTGAGTTTAAAATTTGGGGCAACACCCAAAATTAATTCCTGGGTCCCCCCTGAGATATACAGGATTGGGTCAATGTAAAGTTATTAAGCGACAGTTATGAGTTTGAAATTGTAGGAAATAAAGAAATAGAAATTAAATAATAATGGTAAAAAAATAATGTGATTAACAGAAAGATATCGATTCCTGATAGGGAATATAAAAAATCAGCTAGAAAAAAAAGACTGTCAAATACACAATGGTATTATAATATTATATATTGATGATGAAATGTGGTGTGCCTATTATAAATATTGTTTGTTCTGTGTGAATTTCAGATACAAAGGGACTATGGTATTTTGAAGACCGTTTTGTTTTATATTTCCGTCCTTGTTTTATTTATTTATATTTTTATAAAGTGTTCACGTGCAACATTTGACATAGCTTCTAGAGCTCAACGGCAGTGTTCGCTTTGCAATAGAAATGACGTCGAGGATGAAACCCATTTTATTTTGTTGTGACCAGTTTACTCGGAGCTTAGAACCAAATATATTAAACCCTATTATTTCCGTCGTCCGTCCGTCTATAAATTGATACAATTATTCGCCTGCAAAAATGTAAAAACAATTGAGAAACTTTGGTTAGTATCTAATTCAGGCTACTTCTAAAAGAAAGTCTATACTTAATATCTGAGCAATCGTGTATATTCCAGCTTTGTGCCACTGACAATGATTATGTATTTTCTTTTGTATGTTGACAACATTGTTATGATGTCATCTTGTATTTTACTCTATGTTCTCCGCCATCTTGCATAAATGGATTGTAATATTTACTTGTATGCACATGTAAATTTAACTCCTATATGCGATCTGTTGCATTTACAGAGAAAGAAATTGAAAATTGAATTGAAATTGACATATTTTTGCAGCAATTTTCTATCCAACATGTAAATAACATGTCATACCGCTGACAGTAAATTATATGACATGTTGTTTTAATAATTAGCAAAAGGTGCCGCTGATTTGTTTCTTTTACTATTAACATTCGGGTATTGTCAAACGGAATAGAACGCTTGGCCCAGATGTCAAACGCTGACAGTCATCAAAACGTGTTTTCATAGCGATTACTTGGACACCTGGACGTGTAAAAAAAGGTGAGATTTCAACGTAAATAGAGGGAGTGCAACCACTTGTGGTCATTCTATGCTCGACATTCAGTATGACTAAGCGAACTTTGTGCAAATTAGATACGCAATTCCTGGTGCGGTATCTGTGCGACCAGCAGATGCAAGTGAGAGGACGGCGGTTCATTCGGGACATCGGAGAGGTAATTATTTGCATAAGTTTTACAAGCTTTGGTCGTGAAATATCAAAATATGTTTTTACGTATACATGTATATATATATTCTAGCCAAGTTAAGACACATGCATGAATATATGTGAAGGTCGTGTAAAATTACCTCAAACACTTAAATGAAATGTATTAGTTTTTAGATTAACACGTAATTTCAAATATTAAAACACCAGAAAAATGCTGACAGGAGATAAGTATTATAACTAAAATAAAGACCTAATAGTTAGGACATTTGTATGTAAATAATTTCTAATCATTTAAAGTGCCTTAAGTATTGTCGTAGACCAGTATTAACGAAGTTACTCCTTTTTGTTCTAAACTGTATAGTAATAGTGTAAGTGTGGAAATTATTTATTTCTTTTCCTACCGCAGTTTAAATGTTCAGGCTTGACATCGAAACCTAATTTGCTGATATAAATCGCCCTTACACAAAATGGCATGTCAATGTTAAAATGTATTTGAAAAACGACTAACAAGGGAGGGGAAATCGTTATTTTGATAAACAGTACATATAACATAATTTGGGACAAAAACATAAAAGCATATAGCAAACTAGTAATTTATAAAATTTCATCATCGTTCCGAGAGTATACCTTTAAAATATAAAATATTTCAATCAACCAGCCGTCCTTGTATAAAAATATTAGCCAAATGACTCGTTTACACATTTTGCTTGATACTAAGGATAAATCGAAAGAATCACATTTAAGGGTAAAAAATGAAAATGGTGCTTATTTCTGTAAAATAATATTTGTTGTCAATCGTTTACTTAAAACATATATATATAAAACGTTACTTAAACTAAGGTAATGTAAATTAAATGGATATTTTACACATTTTAATGGTTGCTTATAGCATCTTTTTTTTTATGGAAGGGGTAGGGGGGGTCAAAACACATGAAAACGAAATAAAAACTACCATTTCAATTCGTCGCATCAAACACTTCGTACCGTGTCACTTCTAGATAGAAGATTCTAATTCCTTAAGGGTTGTCAAATATAAGACGAAATGGATGATTGGAATTGGAGAGAATAAACACATCAGTTGTGTTTTTATTCCAGTGTTTGTTGTAACTTAAAATATTGACGTCTTCTCTTCATCGAGTTCACTATTAACATTTTCTCACATTTAAACATTTTGTTTGATAACACAGATTAAAGTACCGGAATACCGTTCTTTATCTGTTATTATACGTTAAGTCATAATGCCATCATAATAGCCCTTGACTTACGCTGCACATAATACTCGAAAGAGGGTGATGCAGAATATATAGATAGATAGACTTTAATTGACGTTTTACATGCAAGCGTCCGAATGACTCTGTCAGCGCGACACGTGTTTTCCACTGAGGACCTTGACGTCCCACACCACTAATTATTTTACTTTATGTTATGACTAGTGACACCATCCCACCAATCGTTCATTTGAAGTTCATCAAATTAAAATTTTCCCTACATGAAAAGACAGTAACCCTGATGTTTACAGAGCAAGGGGAAACCCCAACCTGGGGAATCCCCGCCTTTTTACACTTGTAGTTCTACGCCATTCTATTACTGTAGCAATGCATTTTTTTAAATCTTAAGACCTTACTCTTCGCATATGTAGAAAGTCCCTATTTTATATGACAATTACTCAGAGAATAGCTACAAAACATGAGACGTATCATGCCATGCATCACAAAATGAAAATAGTGTGTGGTATATGTGTTAAGGTCATTGGAGTGTATTGATAAACGGAAACAGGAAGTACATCCCTTGTTGAAAATCCAATGTAGGGAGACAGTATCACAATTTCCGCAAATTCTGATGTTTAATATTAAACTGATGAATATTGTATGCTTATTATTGACAAAACAGTGTGTTCTCTCAATATTAAAGTATTTCAAAGCAATTTTTTGTACTTCAGGAAACCGGCTACTTTTTCACTACTGTGAAGTTTATTAAGAACGATAACTCTTAAGTGTATATGGTTTTATTATAAAATGCAAATTTTTAATCGTTTATAGATAATTAATTTTACACAATTTCAGCGTTTTTGAAATTGATATGCAATACTAATCTATGTCAGTTTCATTTTGATGGACATTATTTTGCAAAACATTGCGTGTTTCATTTTTTTTTCAAAATTCACTCACTATTACATAGATTCCCATTTAAAATCCTTACAATTCTGACAACCTATATTGTTTTTGTGGCACACATTTTTCTTTACTTCAAAGCAATATTACAAGAAAATTTGAAGAAATTCTACTGAGAAATGGCGACACAATGTTATTACCTTAAACAGTATGAATGAGGCAACTCTTGTACCGTTTCCGGTACTCTTGTTTTTTCGTGTATATATATACAACTATCTATGTTTATTCTGTATTTGTATTAAAATAGAATACTTTGCCGTCTTACTTGAATATCTTGATTATTTACAGATTCTGTACGCATTATTTACATGTGTTCGTAATTAAAATGCTTACCAACTAACAATTTGTAGTCTACCTTTCTGAAAGAGAAAAATATTCCCCTTCAAAACATAACAGAAAGCTTATTGGCAGCCGGTTTTGAAATAAGAATCCGTTGATGTTAATAAGTATAAGTGGTAGGGTTAGCTTGCCGAAAAGGAAAATTGTGCGGACCTCAGAATTTTGGTGTATTACATAAATTCTATACAATTTGTATAAAATATAACGTCTAAAATTGAATTTGAATGGTTCGTATTTAGCAAACTATGTAATATGACCCCAAAAAGAAAATTTAACCTGTTTTCAAACTGAATATGAATTTGCTTTATTTACTAAAAGTTTTTTTACAGAAGAAATAGTGTTAATGTTAATTCATGTTAAGGCCCGTAAGTCCTATTCAGGCCCGATAATCCGAAAACTGGTAGGCATTGAGATTTTTTTTAACTTTTTTTTATAAGCAGTAAGTTTGTCCCAGGTTAATAGTTTGAGACTAATTGCTTGAGTCGGCAACCTTTGAAACGTGAATTGTAATACCTTGAAACTCATTTTGATTGGGTAGCCAATCAGCGCTTGTGCTGTTAATCTGGGCACGCCTATATTTTTGACAGCCTGTCGCAACCTTCCCGGTAATTTGAGCTACGTAAATTGAGATACATATGATATTTGATTTCCAACAAAGAAAGCCAAAGTCGTTTCAGTCAGAAATTAGTTGATTTTGACATTTCTTAATATTTTCCTGTGTAGGTAGCTCCTAGGTTGGACCACGGACTTTGATAATTCCGTGGTTGGACGTAGGAGGAAATCATCCGTATATTCATGTCTGCTACAGTGAAAATTTCATACAATACGAGTGTCTATGAGTGTCAGCCCCTTGTTGATGATAATATTCAATTATTTCACTAATGTTTTATGTATCTTTTTAGTTGTTTGAATCTACAATTAATATTGATGTAACCATGAACACGGCAAAATACCAAATTTTTCATTAAATTATATTTAGAAGAAACTTCTTCCACCGAAATGGAATATGCCAAAAATTAGCACGTACTTACGCACCAAATTTGTATTAAAGGATTTGTGCAACGAAAAATAAAAATTCTGTATTATAAAAAAGTTGTGTTTTAAACCCTTATTAAAACGCCCAATCCCGCACGCGTTGTTTGGTTACATTGAAGTGACACGACTATTGGGTCATACGAGTTGACCTCTGATTTATGCATATTTCGTGACCCGGAACGAGGCCACTCCCTTGTGACGTCATAATAGTCCGCGAAAAATCAAGCCGCCGCCATAATACACTGTTTGTTTACATATCGTATCAGCTGATCACAGTCTCCGAGTTAGCGTAAACAGGAAATCTTGTTGTGAAAGCCAACGTAACTTTTTGAATGAAAGTTGGTGTGTACTTTTATTTGGTAAAATGGTGTTTTGTGCGGCTTTCGGTTGTTCCAATAGACTGAAGAAAGGAAGCGGAATTTCGTTCTTCAAATTCCCGAAGAATCCCGTGCAGAGATCGACATGGGAACATTACTGTCGAAGGTCCAGCTTCACAGCAACAAATCATCACACCTTATGCAGTGTGCATTTTTCAATGGACATGTTCCAGTACCACAGTTCGAAATTCGAGAGTTTGGGATTGAACTTTTCACGGAGGGCAAAGCTGAAAGATGACGCATTGCCGGACATTCCACTGATGGAGAAAGAAAATACAGCTTATACAGACAGGTTTTCGTCACCAAAGACAGCCAGAGGTGCATACGCCAAACGCCAAAAAGCAGATGTAAGTCACAGATTTGTTGCTAACCTTAACCCATTTAAATTTTTAACAAGAATTATATAAATATAACAGCTAATTCACACACCCACGTTTTAAAAGACATCTGTCTTCATTTGTTCATCTTCAGAAGTT